CACTGTTTCCACACCTTTATCATGAAATGTTTCGTTCCCCTCTACAACCGATATAGGATCCCACAATCCATCCTTCTTGGAGGTCCAATGTTCTCGCTTGCACATCACCAGATGTTAGACTCTAATACCATTTGTAACAGCCAAAACCCACTGCTAGCATATATTTTGCGTTTTAACCCTTTACGTATAGTCGTCAGCCCACGGTTTTAAAACGTGTCTGTTAGGGAGAAGTTTTCACAGGCTTATAAGAAATGTTTCGTTCTCATGTCCAACCGATGTGGGATCCCATCAACATAAATTTTTGAATGGATCGGTGACTTGATATGCGTGCATTTAAGAGAGAGAAAGACCTATTCTTTGAAATTATGGTTTGAGATTCACTAAATGACAAGAAAGTTGGCTGGAAATTTTTATAACTCAAATCCAAATTGCAATGTGGTGGAATAGGACTCTCCATATTCATGAAGAATTTGAATAATTTCTTTGGCCAAATAACAACAATCCTCTCTCTCTATATATATATAGATATCTATATATATATATATATATAGATATATATAGATATATATATATATTGTAGTGAAGTGGGCATTGCATTAATATTTATATAGTGAAAGTTCTTTGGTAACTCACATCAGTGGACAAATGTTAATTACATTAAAGTATAGGGCTAAAGTTGTAATTAGGTTGTAGATGATGTACCTGTTTGCAAAATATCAATTTTAGAGGGTCCAGCTAGATAAACCTATGTCCTTTCATTACAGGGGAACAACATATTTCTATCAGGTCCTTCAAAAACACATTATTTATCATTTTTCATCTTTTTAGGGTCTCTGCCTTTGGTTAGGCATGTTGTGATATTTGGGCAGACAATCAAGGTTTTCTAAAATACACTTCTTTTCTCCTTTTTTCCTTAGGTCCTTCAATTTTCATCAAATTAACCGTTCACGTAGTTTATAACATTTTAGTCCTTTTAGTTTTAACTTGTAAACGTTTTTGTCTCTATACACTTTAAAATTTGTAACAATTTAATCTCTGTCATAGAAAATATTGTCGAGATTTAATGAGGTTTAATCCATTTTATTGCTAGCTAGGTCCGTAAAAGTTAGATTCCACCTTGGATAGAGAAGATAACGAAATATTTCTTATAAGAGTGTAGAAACTTCTTTTTAGTAATCGTGTTTTAAGATTGTGAGGCTGATGATAATACATAACGAGTCAAAGCGGACAAAACCTGTTAGTGGGTTTGGGCGAAGTAACGGTCTAAGTTCTCAAACTATAGTTAATAACGATTTTGCCTTCGTACTTTTAAATTTTGGCAGTTTTAGTGTTGACACTAGATTTTGATAGAAATTTTTCGGGTAAGAATTAAATTGTTACAAATTTTAAAGTGGGAGAGTTTTTGTTTGTTGAGTGAAGTCTCACATGGGCAACTCTTCAAAGTATATTCTAAAAGAATATACTATATAAGTTTAAATTATACAAAATGCCCTCCAATTTTGTGTAATTTTCAATTTTGTCCTTTAAAAATTAAAATTTACGCATAAAATAAATGATAATAACAATCTCGAGATATTTAAAAAATTGAGAGATAAAAATGAAATATTTAAAAGTTGAGAGTAATTAAAAGTTGTTATATGAATCAACACAACTCTCCACAATTGTATGATATTGTTCACCTTCGGCATAAGCTCTCATGGTTTTGGTTTAGGCTATCATAAAAGGTTTCACACCGATGGAGAGATAGTATTTCTTGATTATAAACTCATGATCATTTTCTAAATGAGTTGATGTGGGAACCGTGGTTAGTATAGATCTCAAAATTTGATTATATTTGAGGATTGAAAAGCTGATAGAATTATTGTATTGCATTTTGTGAAGTGTTTGGGCTGCTGCTACCTTTCCTGTTTTTATGTGTTTTTTTTTTTTAGGATTTGATTTGATCTATTTCAGAGAGATATTGTTTTAAATTCCTGGGTGTTGTTGAAAATGGCAGCATTTCGTCATGAATCTATTAAAAAAATAAAGAAGATTGGGTTTCTAATGTGAATACAATTTCTAAACAAAAATGGATTCCGGCTAAAGGGTAAATCATTCGATCCATTCCATCGAATAGAAATATTTCGGATTTTTAGAGCTTAGAGTTTTGAAATCGAGTACAAATGTTTAAAATTTAGGGTTTAAGGTTTTGGAATAGAGTAGAAATGTTTAGGGTTTAGAGTTTAAGATTTAGGGTTTAGGGTTTTGGAACAGAGTAAAAATGTTTAGGGTTTAGGGTTTAAGGTTTAGGGTTTAGGGTTTAAGATTTAGAGTTTAGGGTTTAGGGTTTTGGAATAGAGTAGAAATGTTTAGGTTTAGGGTTTAGGGTTTAAGATTTAGGGTTTAGGGTTTAGGGTTTTGGAATAGAGTAGAAATGTTTAGGTTTAGGGTTTAGGGTTTAAGATTTAGGGTTTAGGGTTTAGGATTTAGGGTTTAGGGTTTAGGGTTTTGGAATAGAGTAGAAATGTTTAGGTTTAGGGTTTAGGGTTTAAGATTTAGGGTTTAGGGTTTAGGGTTTAGGGTTTAGGATTTAGGGTTTAGGGTTTAGGGTTTTGGAATAGAGTAGAAATGTTTAGGGTTTAGGGTTTAGAGTTTAGAGTTTTGAAATCGAGTACAAATGTTTAGGGTTTAGAGTTTTGGAATAGAGAATTTAGTGAAAATAAAAATTGAAATAGGTGACAGACTAGAACGAGAAATTTTTTTACCACGTCACAGGCATCTCTAATATTAGTTTGGGGTGTTTTTGAATTGATTTTATAAGTATTTTAAAACACTATTCTTTGCATTTTAAATTACTTTTTAAAATTTTAAAAATATATGCTCTAAAAATTTAAATATTTAGATTAAAAATAAGAAATAGAATTGGAATCTAACATGTGTATTTTCATTGATATTTATAATATTTAAATAGGATATAAGTTACCAAAAATATAAAATAATTAAATATGGATAATTTTATTAATAAATAAAAGAATAATTAAATATAGAGAATTTTTTAATAAATAAAAGAATATTAATATATTATAATAAATTAAAAATCTATGAGTTTTAAATAAATTCTACTGCTCAAATTTAAATTTAATACAATTTAAATTAAAAATAGAAATAATAATAAATAAATAAATAAAAGCCTAAAGAGACTTTTGCGTGGCTATACTTTATATAAAATTATATACCAACTATTTTTAAAATTATTCTCTATCATGATTTATAATTAATAATTCTAAATTTATCTCTAACTTAAAAAGTTAGGCTCAATATCTATTTAAGTTCTAAAATTCCCATCTACAATTTTAAATAATAATAATAATTCATTAAGAACAAATTCTTTATATGTTTCATAAACACTTTTGTTATGTCACATTCACATGATTTAAGGATTAAAAAAATAATTAGAATATCAAACAACAAAAAGAAAATTAATAATTATCTTAAAATACGTGAACTTGAGCTTGGTGTCCCGGATATGTTTGTCCAAGCCGTGTTCTTTGTGGCCACGTGTTGGATGTCTTTGTCATACTTGTCCACGACATGTTGTCTATAGTCGTATGTTGTGTAGGTCTTTATTATTTCTATCTTGATGTATGAATGCTTACGAAAATCGTATTTACCTCTGCTAGAGCTGAAATTGCTCAAAATATAATAAGGGATGTAATTAGTCGTAAATTTTTCCTATATGGGTTATATGCTATCATCTTTGCTTTTTCATAAATAGTTTTCAACGCATTTCCTCACTTACACTTTCTCTCAAACATGATCGAGAGTCGATCATACATTCGAATTGTCTGCGATTTATGATTTTTATATGACTTACTTGTTCGTTCGATTAAAACAAGTGTTGTACAGTCGTTGTCCCACTGACACAAGAGTGTGATTGTGACGGTCAAAGGCAATTATCACGTACAACCTATCTTGAGGTCAGATATTTAAATCATCAAGTAATTGGTTGAAAAGAATTCTCACTCCCTCTCTCTCCTCCCTACCAACCCTCCCTAGACAAAACCCACTTGGCTAGCATGGTCAATGATACCCATCTTTTTATTTAAGTGCCCTTCCTTACAGCTAAGCGCTCGACGTTCAAATCTATACGTTCTCCAATGGTTTGGAACTAAATATAAGTACTAAATTTAAGCTATTTTTTTTAAGAATAAAGAGTATAATAGAATAATTGCAATGAATTATCAAGATTTATCAACTAAATTTATACGTGTTTTCCAAGCTATGTTAGCTTAGCTTTACTTCAAAAGCTGCATGATGATTTGACGTTCGTGGTAGACATAAGAGCTAACCGGACTTATTACCAGATATAACAAGATAAAACTAGAAACAAAAAGACATTCCCTAATTTTTTTCAAAACATATAACTTTTTACTTTTTACTTTTTACTTCCTTAAAACTTACTTAATTCCAAAAAAAGTAAAAAAGATAATTTTATTGCAAATAATGTAAAGAAAACAACAAATAAGAAAGAAGGGAGATGGGAACTCATCATACCACAATAATAAACCAACAAATTTGCAACTTGGAAGGTGTCATCCACGCGCTTCATTGGCGCGTGGATCCTCTGATATGGGACCTTCCTGACCAACCCACAAACTTTTCCCTAGCAATTTGGCTTGGTGCTCATACCCTATGCAAATTGCAATAATTAATTATTATTTTTTAAATTAACAAAAAAAAATTATATAATAATTACAATAAAATAAACGACAAATTGAGACATTGCAATATATAAAATAATGATTTATTCAAAGGTCTTTTCTTTGTGTTTTTTTTTTTTTTTAATTTTTTATTATTGCATCAGCATCATCATTTAAAGGACAATATTTCCACTCAATTTTTTAATTCTTCTTTTTGATTTTTTTTATGAATTTTATAATTCAAGATTCTTATGTAACAGTTTATAATTTTTTTTTTTTTTTTTCTTCTCTGTTCCCAAATCCAAAAAGGCTTAAATACAAACCCCACAAAAATAATTTCAGGGTTGCTCTCAGTTTATGACCTACTTTCCTGGGATACTGGAGAAGGCGTTTTCTTGGCTTCTCTTGTTCTTCAAAGCTTTGGAAATGTATGCTGAAACTGAGCATTTGCTTCCTTATTTCCAGAATTTCTCTGATGAATTTCAACTAGCAAAGGATTTCTGCAAGACCCACAAGCTTGATTCTCCATTGGTACTCTTTTTGCTTCTGGGTTGCATTTTTTTTTTATGATTATGAACTGGGTTTGTGTTTAAACTTGCTGATTGCCTTGTTTTTTGGATGATTATGAACTGGGTTTGTGTTTAAACTTGCTGAATGCCTTGTTTTTGGGCTTGATTTTGTGTTTTGGTTGCTGTTTGTGTTGGATTATGACTTCTAATGCTTAGTTCATTGAGAAATTGAGAAGAAAAGCCTCAGAGAATACTTTCTTTGTTACACCATTGTGTCTGTGTCTGCTTTACATGCTGGATCTGGAAAAGGATGTGTGGAAAAAGGCATATAAAAGGAGACTGAAAAACAGAACAGCTTCAATCATTCTTTCCTTTTTTTTAAGTTGAATCCATTATTTTCCACTGTTCTTTTGCTTAATCTTCATGGAAAAGTGTTTTTAAGAGAGGAAAATGGTCTGAGAGAGCTGGTGGAGATATGTTCTTAGTGATGGAAGTGGTAATGTTTGTTTATGAGAGCTGTTTAAGCTATGATATCTGCAAAGGTTCAGTATAAATCGTTTTGATTCCTTATCTGTTCATCATAGAATATGTTCACCTGTTTGTTGTATCCTTTAGGTAGCATTAAGGATTAGTTTGATTGTTTATGTTCATCTGGAAAAGAGAGCTCTTCTTTGGTTGGTTTCGTTTTTCATTGTTCGAACTCGTTCTTCTAATGCAGAGCAACATGGTTCAAACATCGACAGTATGTGAATACAACATGGGTGGTGAAGGGGACCTATTCAAAGCTCCAGAGCCAATTATTGAGGAATCATTTTCGGGTCTCGATCCTATGATGGCTGCAATTTCTATGATGTCGTGTGGCAACACGAATATCTCGTTGGAGGGACTTGAAGATGCTGATTTTGAATCACTTCAAAGTGATCAGCTCTTGAGTGAGGTTTACTATGAATGTGAGAAGGATCTTTTAGAGAAAGCAGCTATACAAACACCAATATCTGAAGTTCTCGATCTTAAGGATCAGATTTCAAAGACGGACGAACACCGAATTCCAGAAAACCGACCAGTTCTTGATGCAACACTTCAGAAGAGTGTTAGCTCTGGATGCTTAAGATCAATGGATTGGATGCAAGGCCCCGCAATGAAGTCAAGTCTTTTAGATTTTAGTGGAATGGATATCAATGAGGTCTATGGGATGCGACGGGCGTTTAGCGAAAACGATATCAAGGTAAGACTTTGTTTCTAACTTCATCATCAAAAGTTCCTTACATGTTGTTCAGCTATTTAATATTTCGGAAACGAAGCATTCACAAATTTGATACAGGAACCGACATGAAGAAGAATCGAAACGTTCATGATTCGAGTAAAATAGGTGTTATATGTTGTCTTTAATCATCTTCACAAGTTAATTGGGGGCTTTTTGTTGTTTCTGAACTTCTGTTGTAGACTCTTAACAATGGCAATAGGAGTCAGTTCCATTCTCCTCTCGAACGGCCATTGTTAGTCAGCAATTGCACGGCCGAAGAACGCAAAGAAAAACTCTCAAGATATCGAAATAAAAAGACAAAAAGGAACTTTGGGAGAAAGATCAAGGTAACTAATTTATACGGTCGAACGAGTTAAGTAACACTCAAAAGGGGTCGTTCACTTCTATCAATGGATTCAAACTAGATATATTCATTGATGTCGTGTTTAAATCTATAGACTACACAATGCAGCAGCATGTTTAACGATCATTTTTCCGGAAAAAACAATGGATGAGACGAATTCTAAGAACAGAATGGTTTTTTTTTGTTGACAGTATGCTTGCAGAAAGGCTCTGGCTGACAGTCAACCAAGAATCAGAGGAAGGTTTGCGAAGACTGAAGAATGTTAGATGAGGAACATCATCAGGAAAAGCATGAATCTGCAATTAGAAGGATAGTTGATTTGTAAATATTGTTTGCATAATAAAAACAAGGAGGAGAAGGAGAAGAAGCATGAAGGAAGTGTTTGTTGATAGTAGTAGTCTTCTAAAGCTCTGCACTGTTGATGTATTATTATGAGTCTGTATTGTTGTAATTCAAGTGTTCTCTAATCATCCTTCTAAGAACTTTTCTTTTCAATCTTCTCATCTCCAACCACTAAGTTCTTCACCTTTTTATATTTTATATATATAAAGAGTGAGTATGTTCACAAAGCATTTTATAATTGTATTTTGAAATTAATATTCTTTTTAAAATATTCTTTTATGATTAAGACAATGATGAGAGAGAGAGAGAATGTTCCCGATCCCCGTTTCCGGTTAGCTAACAAAGAAAAATCCCTCCTCATTTCCTTCTTCATTCCCGAACAGAGAATTAAAAACGCTCTCTGTCATCTTATTCACAAGCATTTTAGTCCAGTTAGTTCGCTACTTTCTGAACAGCATAAGAACTCGAAAGAAAGCTGGAATTAGTGACATTTTTAAAACACTTGGGAGTTTAGATATTACCTTGCAGGTCGAAGCTCCCCAGCTTGGCAGTTGTGTTTGGCTCCTGAGCATGGACAACTTCCTTGGAGGGGATTATTAAGAGTAACTGACCAAGAACAAAAGCAAGCAACCTCAACACAAACTATGCACCAAGGTGCAGAACAGTAGGAAATTTTATTCCTTGCAGGAAGATGAAGCAACATGAATATAGAAAAATCAATAACTTAAAACTAAGCAAAATATGAAATGCAGAAGCGATATTAAAATTGTTTCAATGTGTACTTTCAGGAGAATGACGTATCTGACTCAAAATTAAAGACTCTGACCCTATTGGCACACCACCACCACCACCACCACCACCCATTAACCCCCCCTCCTCACAACTCTCCCCCCCTATTTCATCTCCTCCTGCAAAAGATAAAGGACCACTCACTGCTTTGTCAAAACAAGAATTACCAACTCCACATCCTGGAGATTCTTTGCCATTCACAATCCCCTTGATGTCGTTGTTGTTACTCAATTCATCGCATCGTGGAGAGTCTTTGCCATTGACAATCCCCTTCATGTCGTCGTCGTTACTGGATTCATTGATGTTATTAACTGGTGTGTTGTCATTTGCTATGACAATGGTATCCTTCTCAGCGTCTAGGTTCGCCTGCTGCTCTGAATCCATCATAACCACTTCTGTTGAATTGGTAGTCGGCACCGACTCCTCTGAGTTCTCAAGACACTTAACCTCCCGAGTGGCAGGTGAAGCCAAATCCTCCAGTTCCCCCAAAGCAGAATCCGCCTCAACTGCCAAATCCTCCAGTTCCCCCAAAGCAGCATCCGCCTCAACTGCCAAATCCTCCAATTTACCCAAAGCAGCATCTGCCTCAATTGCCTTATCAACACCAGTGGTTTTGATGGGTGCCTGTGTCATTTCCGCATCAACAGTTGAAACAGGAGCCTTAACTTCTTCATTATTGAAATTAAAGCCCTTCTCTTCATGTTTCCTCTCCGAGAAAGCCATTCCCCCGGAAACAACTTGCATCCCCTGCTCTTCTACAAGCATCCTCTCAGAGAAGGGCATTTCCCTAGAAATAGCTTGCATCTCCTTCATTTCCGTTCTCTGCTTTTTATACAAGTCCATTGCATGCTGCAAAATATCAATACCACAATTATTACATGGTCTATTAACTTTTGAGCGTCATTTTTCGCTAAGAATCTACAAGGATAAAGTTTTACTAACATATAAATGGCATAGTACTTTACAAGTTTTCCCCCATATTTTATCAAAAGAGAACAGGAAGGGCCATGAAATCCAGCGAAAATGCCAAGACACAATGATTAAATATCAGAAAATATAACTAACAACGTTTCATGGTAGTTTAGTATTTTAATACATGAAAAAACAGACAGTCCAAATTTGTACCATCTTGCCAGTCTCGAGCATCAAATATCTAAAACCTAATGTGAATACTAAAAGACCACAGGCAACTTATATTTCCTACACTTACGCAGCCAAGTATTATACCTGAAAAACTGAGTTCTTGTTTGGACGGAAAAGAGATATTTGTGCACTATTTGAAGAGACGGACACAGCTCTCATACCACCCTGTCAAAAAGTCGATGCAAATCATGAATAATAATTAAATTCATAGAATTATGAGGAAGGCATAAACAGATATAGGTGAAATATGAAACTTAATCCCGGATTTTACCTCAAGAACTATATAAGCAGCAGTTTCCTCATCTGCAGTTGCACAGTGCTCAATGTCCATCAATCTCTGACACTGTTGGTACAAATCAGGAAGTGCAAGTTCTGTGGAAATCTTAAGCTTAGAAAGGTAAGAACAACTAAGTTTAGAATTATCATCCATTGACCGACTAAGAGGAGCTGGTGTTTCAGATAAAAGTTCGGGGGTGTTGGGGCTTTCTTTTGCAGAAGGGATATTAGGCCTTATTTCAGCAGTTTTTGTTAAAACGGTATCAGCATTCTCATCACATATCTCTTTACTTGATACATCATCAACAGGATCTTGCACCAAACGCTCATCTTTCTGAAATTGGGAAGGTATTTCCCTTTTCAGGGAGCCACTCTGTCTCTTCCACATTTCAGCTTTGGAGTCCCAACCTCGACCATTCACCATCTGCCTGTTCTCATCCCATTCAGCTCCATTATAAATATGAGATTCATCCCTAAAGATACCGTTGTTTGCATCCCATCCATGCAAGTGAGAAGGGCTTGAACCATCCAACATATTCTGCCACCCTAGTGGATGCATGTGACTTGAAAATCTGTCAGCATCAGGCATCCGATAATGAATTCCCGAGTGATTGATATCAAGCGGGGGTCTGATACCAAACATAGGTGGTGCTGGAAACTGTGGCATAAGTGATTGGAAACTTCCATGAGGAGGAGGTCCATGCTGGAAAGGGATAAAGCCATTTGGTAGTGGTGCTGTCCAGTTTGGAACACCTCTCCAAGTGTTGCCATGTACTCTACCCATATTTGGATCATTACCCCTTCGAAAATGGCTATTAGAATTAAGTCTGCCATCATCATCTAGTGAACCATCAAAAGGAATATCAACTCCACCCCTAAAAGCAGGGCGAGGATGGAATGGTGATGGATTGCTCTGACTACCTTTGCTATAATAAGACTCTACCTGAGATGAATCATCCATCACAGGTTTCTCTCCTTGTATATCCCAGCTATGCCTATCCTTATTGGAAGAGAGGTCTTTGGCATCAATAGAATTATTGTGCCTTCGTCCACTTTCTTCAATGTCAACATTCTGCAGAAACATAAGAGCTGTTAGCATGTCCAAAGTCATTCATAAATGTAAGAGATCTTTTTGACAAGCTCAATGCTGATAGATACCTTAGAATTTAAAGTCCTGTCTCGTAACATCTCAGTAGCATTGCCACCCTCTATTTCACTGGGTTTCTCCGAATAAGTGTATTTGGAACCCTTTTCCTGTACTACTGAAAGAACACCTTTATCTCTAGTAGAAATGGATTTGGACCTATCTTCCTTTTTTGGGTATCGGTCTCTCAAATCTTCCTGATCTTGATGCCTAGAATGGAAAAAGATAAATATTAGATGAACATCTCATTGCTCTGTTAACTCTTACAATTCATGAAGTCAGTTACCCACTTCCTACAAACAAATTATAATCCTTTAAATATAATAAATCCTCTTGACGACATACATAGTTAAGAAGTTGAATAATAAAAAACAAGACCACATAACCGTCATCAGTTGTTGCATTATTTCCTATCAAGAAGAAATTCTTCCAAAAAGGAGAAAAGGAAAAAGGAAATCACTACACAAGAATTAAGACAAAAAAATGAATGTATGGAACCCTACGTTTCGGCACTATCAATCCTAAAAAAGATAAGAAAAAAATAACATGATGCAGGAAGATGCGGTGAGAACTCCTTTCAGAAAAAGAAATAAACTGAAGTTGCACCACACAATATTAAAGAGTTTCTTTGTGGCGGAAATTTTTTTTAACTGATACTAGTCTGTGAGGCTCCCTTGTCAGTACCTTTTATTGGACCCAACTAGTGTGCCATAATGCATTCGCCATTCATAAGGTAAAATGAAAACTCAGCCAAGAAAAATTGCCAGGTATTATAATAGAATTCACAACAATAGTTATTCATTAAAAGAATCACCACTAATCATAATAGAATTCACAGCTACGACCATTAATAATAATGCAGATGAAAAGACATGGAGAAGAAATTGCTCATAGTCTGGTGCTCTCTCCTCCTTTCAAAAAATTCCTTGAATGAAAATTTGAGAAGTAATTAAAATACCATTTTGATCCATCTACAACATTTCATTCTATCTTAGCCCACGTACTTTCAAATATTCAAACTTAATCCATCTACTTCCAATAAATTTCAAGATTAGTCGTATTAGTCAATCCCCCCCCCCCCCCCCC